TATGTGCTTCCAAGATATGCTTCTGATTGTCCGGGAATGAAAGGAGTGAGGAATTGAGTCTCCAAATCGGCGGAAGCGCCGAACGTCGATCATCATCTAAGGATAAACTGATTGGTGCGTGATCTGACCAGGATATGGTGCCAATGTTCGATGAGGTCGCTTGCTGTAATGTCCATTTATCGGTGATAAACATATCTATCCTCGAGTAGGAAAGATGTGCGGGGGAGTAGTAAGTGTAGTCTCTCTCGGAGCCATGTTGGCATCTCCATATGTCATACAAGTCATGGTCGTGTAGAAATCGATTAAAGGTATATTTACTAGTTTTCTTTTTGGAGGATGAATCCACAAGTGGGTTGCTCATAACGTTGAGGTCTCCGCCAATTATGAGTCTGCCTTGTTTATGGGGAGAGATGAGCTTGTAGAGTTTCCGATAGAATTGTAATTGGTTGTCGTTCGGGCCATAGACATTCACCAATGTATGGGTTATGTCATTGATCTGACAGATGAGGATGTGAAAGCGTCCAAGTGGGTCGGCTATTTTTGAGACGAGGCGGAAAGGGAGGGAATCGCTAATGGCTGTGATGACTCCGTTTTTCTTCTTGGGGTTGGTAGACATAAAAATTTGTGAAAAGTGGTGAAGGTGTAGCTTAGGCTCTTTTCCAGTGGCGAAATGAGATTCTTCTATGAAGAAAATGTCGGCTTGGGATTTCCTGGTTTCTTTAAAGAGTAGTGATCTCTTAAAAGGGGAGTTTAGGCCTCTAACGTTGAGAGATGTTATAGTAATCATTGGTAAAGAAATATTCGTTGACAGTACAGTGTCGGGTTGTTGTTTAAGAGAGACAAGACTCAGTAATCTCCTAGGAGTAGGAATTGGTTGCTTACTTGTGGTACTAGTATGGCTCGGATGGAGGCTGTGAAACTATTGTGCCATGTGGACTCTAGGAATGCAGGAGTAGGAGTAACGAGGAGTAGTCGATGGTGCCTTAGAAGAAGGGAGGTGGAGACAAACAGGGTAATAAAAACATTTCTGCATAAAAAAGCAGGTAGGCCAAGTAGCCAACATCGCTACTTTAGAACTGAGGGGTATAGATGGGCTTTGGAGGGTCATGCCAAACAAAAACATGTAGAACGAACATCTTCAAATGAGGGCCGATCGGCAGACAATTGGACATTTAGAATGGCCAAATGGCCTTGTGATAATCCTGGGGGTATCACCATCTGAGGGCATAAGTGACCTGGCAGAGGAGACTGAGTGGTACTACAGGAGTATTATAACAGAGATCCCCAGTTTGGTGGAGCATTATTACTTAAAGCATTGTGGCCCTTAGGGGTCGCATGGTTAAGGTGTGGAGGCACTTTAGCTACTTTTCGATTACGATATACACGTGTGGCATGCTAACACGCATCATGTTTGGAGTGAAGAATTGAAGCACTGACATCGCTGTGTTTGTTTGCACATGAAATGTCAAGCACTTTGTTATTGCACTTTATTGTGGATTTTTATTTATAACCTAAATGTATACTCATACTGAGCACCTATCACTTTCAGTTAGAGTGCGCAATGTCATTGTGTATTACTTTTACTTTGCATATATTGTATTTTTGCATGATTTAGTTAGCATACGCATGACCTGTTTTGCACTCTCAGCACTTGGCACTTATATATTTTTTGGGGGGAATACTTAGCACTAGTCATCTATACCTTTCAATACAGTGTGGTCACTTTATATGCATTTTATATTTTTATATCACTGTACCTTACATATTTAGTTTTTATGTGAAGCGCTTCACCAATATTGTTTTTTTATGTTATACATCCTGTGGTATTGGGAATAGGTGGTAGCAGCTTGCATATATTTGGGGTTGTGTTTGTTCAGACCAGTGGAGCGCAGGGGGATTATTTTTATATTTAACATGCAACATTGGTCACATAAAGGTTACTGCACTACTTTGATGCAACCTTGATGCTACTTTGATGCTATTTGAGTGTCAGAGAGTACAAAGTTGCATTAAAGTCGCATCAGAGTAGAACTACAATAACAGAACTGTCATACTTTTCTATTAGCAAAAAAAAAGCAAAAAATCTTAAAAACACATGTTCATAAACACAAAACACACCACAAAATGCGCTGGAAAAATGTATCAACCGCAACCTGCATAGATGTGAACCTAGCCTGATGGTAGATGGCAGATGGATCTAAATGTACTGGAGTTTTAAACTTCAAACTAGAGTCTTCTTGATCTTGCATTTCTAAATTGCATTGCGGCATGTTACTGCATGCACATTAACATGCCAGGTTTTTCATGCTAACATGCAGTGCATTAAGGCAGTTCATTTATTTTGTTGCCAATGCTCCAAAAAAAAACAAAAAAAGCATGTTCCTCTTTTCAGTGCACTGCATTATAACACACCCATCTGTGTGTTGCATGCTTCCCATTTGTGCATTCTGGTACATTTGAGAACCTGCACAAAAATAAGACTAGTTATGGACTCAACCGGAATGGGTTTTTGTTTTTTATACTGTATATATGTAAATAATCCTATAAGGATAATAATTCAAAAAGGAAAAGGTGAAATGTATTTAATTGTATAGGTCCTGGTTCTCAGGTGAGCGGCCATCTTTAAGCTTGGTGGAGGGGTGTGACGGGTGAAGCACACAGTATTTGAAGTGCATGTGAATCATCCACGTTTTATGGACACATTTAATATAGTTTCTAATATGTTTTTTTTTTTTGAATGTTGGTTGAGTAGCACAACACATTTATATTATTGGGTACAGCTAGCTACTCACAGTCTGACTTTTCTTGACTCCTGTAATAAAAGTTTTGATCATTGTAGTAAGTATTCAGGGTTAAATGACCACACTTACTTATACACTATGGGTGTAATATAAAGAATAAACTGTGAAATGTTCATTACTGTGTAGTTGAGCAAATTCTCTGATTCTTCTGATAACCTTATTTTATGCTAAGATCAACCTGTCAGAACCATTTTTATCAAGAAGTTAGCATAAAAATAGTATACTGGCCAACAATTTTCAATGGGGTCAATAGACATTCGCCCCAACTGAAGTTTTCTCAGATTATTTAAACAATTTACAATGTAACTGGGCATGTTTTACACTGAATGATAATCTTCATGCAATGGGGTTGATTTATTAAACTGGAGAGTGCAAAATCTGGTGTAGCTCTGCATATGAACCAATCGGCTTCCATATTTTTTTTGGTCAAAGATTAATTGAACAAGCTGAAGTTAAAAGCTGATTTGCTACCATCCATGCACAGCTGCACCAGATTTTGCACTCTTCAGTTTTAGTAAATCAACCCCAATGTCACATGAAAGCTAGGTGATAACCATTGCAGTATCAGCTATGTTTATTATCACGTGTTGTATTATCTCATATTACAGTGCTGTAATTCTTCTGCAGTCACATACTGGCATAAAACAGGATCATATAAAATACAGTATATTATTTACACTTTGGTTTTTGATTATAAGATTCTTATATTCATTTTTGTCCACTTAGGCTCTGCACTTTTATATTCACATTTAATTTTGGGGTTCATATACTTACCTTACTTGCTAGCTGCCTTGCACTTGTCTGATTTTGGAAGCTAAGTGTAGGGTTGGGCCTGGTCAGTACTTGGATGGTAGACCGCCTTACCTTATTTAGTAGCTGCATAAATATTCTCTTTTTCCCTATTTCTTGAGTTTACATAAAATACTGTATTCTGCTTTTGAGGATGTTGCTTGCCACAGCTTACATTTCAGTCAAATTCACTACTGAATAGCCATGCAGTTGCATAATGAGCCATAAAGCACTGTGCCATATGAAGATATACACACGGTGGAGAAAAACATATAACAGTAACCATAGCTAGCCCTTCAGCTTTTTAGTAGTAACCATGGGGTTTTCAATGTAGCATGAACATGAGCATTTCACCATAATCAAAATTAGGGTTGTCATTGTTCCATGGAAGTGAAGTAATATATAGTACAGATTTGGGTTGCTGCAATATGTAAGCTTACTATTTACTATGCTGGGCATAAAAAAAAAAAACAAAGGTGATTTTAAGGTGTATTTCCAGCCAAAATATTTTTGAGTTTTGAATAGTGTAGGAAAGAGATTCAACACCTGTTGTGTCTTTATTCATACTGGGGAAATTTGCTCTCCTTGTTTGCCCTTGTGTCCATTGTAACAAGGACAGAAAATGATGGAGAATCCAAAATCTGTGATGAGGTGTGGCAGCCTAAAAATTTACTTTTGCTTTGTACAGATGTCCAGGTAATTCTATAATGTTGTTGGAATTGGAAGTGAAGCAAAACTGTTAAAAAACCCAGCAACAGTTGTAAATGCTCATTACTCTATTGAAACAATAAAAAAGTTGCCCTTTTGTAAAATGTAGACCTATATTTACTAAACAAGCTATAAAAATATTGATGTTGCAAGGTAATACAAATAATAAAGTGTAAATCTGTAGCCAAAACTTTCTTTTGTAGTTATGGTTAATGTGAGGAATTGATGTCAGTTTTTTAAGGCTACTTGTTCCCCCAACTTGTTTTTATGACCACCATCATTAGGGCTAAGAGTATCGGAAATTTAAAATGAAATAGCTGCCACTGGAATATGAGATGAAATGAAATATGTCAATGGGTACACCTGTTACAGTGACAACAGTCAAAGAGGGGGTTTTTCCTCACTTTGGAGAGATTTCCACTCATTTTGTTGTGTCTCAGAAGGGGAAATTTCCCTAACAGGTAACAGATAGTAATAAAAACTTGAAAAATATTTAACGAAAATATATAAAAAACAATCAAACAAACAAAAAGAAAGAAAACCGTGTTGGATAGATACACTATAATCTCTTTAGAAGCAATAATTTAATTGTGCAGAATACCCCAGTGTGCATGGTTGAATATCGAGCATTCTGTTTTTTTTTCCATTGTTATGTTGCCTATTTCAAATCATTTACTTCTCATGCTATTTTGAGCATCTTACCTTGCCAACGTACAGTGGGTCTGTTCCTCTATACTCTTCCAGAACAAAGAACTGGTTCCATACCCAGCTTCTTTTTGTCCGGGGATGTGGCAATGGTTTGTTCTCTGATTTTACATCCATTTGTTTCATCAGCTGACCTGGAATTCCAAATCCAGCTGCAAAGTCCAGCAGCACCATGTAATAGATACACAACCCTTGCTGGGCACAGTTCTTCAAATGTCGCATATTTTAAAAGTTATTTTTTTATTATTTATTTAAAAAAAAAGAAAAAGAGTAATCCTTGGTGTAAAATAAATACAAGAAGTAGTAAAAAGATCTTTGATCTTGATTTAGTCTTTGACAGTCGTCTTAACAGCAGATTCCTACGCAGTTGAGAAATAAAAGAGAAAAGAACAGAAAGTTAATATGGTATTTTCAATTGGAATAATAATATTTTCTGCTATAAAATGTAGAGGATTTTGCAAGGGCAGCATGATAATAAAATATGAACAGTGTGTTTAAGAACAAAGGGGTCTCTTATCTTCTTATACACAACAAAGTAGCTACGGACGCAGACACATTGGGGGTTGTAGTTAGTGGGGAGGGTTACTTCACTTTGGCTACTTTGATTACAACAGGGTTCCGCTGTATTATTGATTTGCTGTAGTTAACAGCATGCTCTCAAAAATACAGTATTTATGATCTGAGAAGCTCTTTGAAACTGCTGAATATAAGCATTGCCTTCCAGAAAATAGAATACCGACCAAGCAATTTCCAAGGACAGATGCTTTTTTTCTTTTTCTAAATATATGTTTGTTGCTATAGAGTTGCACAATGTTTTTTTTTTCAGGAGAATCTGTATTATCACTGACCTTAATTATTATTTTATGCTGTTTGGAGCATTCAATTGTCACGTGCTTTTGCACTTTATAGAGAAGCATAGAGGTGCTGCTAATGTGATATAGACAAAGATTTCAATGGTCAGTTAATCATTATGTGATCCACATGGGAGATTGGGTGTTTGATAGGCACATGCCATTGTGTGATATGTGTGCTGGTCAGACGAACAGATTGTCTTTCTGTAGGCTGAACAGCTCAGTTTAGGTAAAGGAATGTCGACATCCAGTGGAGGGAGCTTTCTCATCAGTCAAGTGTCTTTTGTTGTCATGAAGTCAGATTAGCTGGTGACCTCACTCTGTGCTATTGAGCACAAAAACTTTCTCTTTCACAGTTTTGTGGGACTTAATGAGGTGGCATTGCACTCAAGTTACTCTGTCAAAACACTCAGAACATCTTTTATAACATTAGGCCTCAAGCTGCTCTGTTTAAAAGACCGTCTTCCTCCCTTCGCTTTTCTCTCTTATCCTCTTTCCATCTGGCTCCCATAAGCAATTACAACACCGTTCATTTGTGATTTGGCAACTCAATGACAATACATTTTGTGGTGTCTTTCTACCGTAAATTTATGGTAGCTAGTGAACAGCTGCATGTCTCCAACAAAACATCACGTATACAATTTTCTTTCCCTTTCAGTCCTTAAGCATTCAACATAGCAATAAAAAACTGAAAATACTAAAGTATGTAAGTATGCAAAGCTTTATATGTTCAATGAAAAGAATCAACACCAGACATCAAAATGGGAGTGGTAACAACTACAAAATGATATATGAACAATATGATGAAAGTATGAATACAAGAAATAAATGCCTTAATCGTCTATCCATCAACATACCTTCACAATGCTTTTTTCTGTATTCCTACTAAAGAAACCCAAACCAGGTTGATTTAATAAAGGAACGAAGACTGTTCACTTTGCAAAGTGTATTTTGATATTGCAAAGTGAATGCCCCTTGAATTTTAGTAAATTAGGTAAAACTGCATTCACATCAATTATGTAAAAGCATTTTTTTTAATTTCCCTTGCTCATGATTGAGTATTCTGAATATTGAGTGTATTTATTAAATTATATGAACATACAATTTGCAAAGTGGGCATTCACCTTTAATGAATGAACACCCTCTACCTTTTTAGTAAATCAAGCCACAATGACTCCATTGCCATTTTCTGGCCTTTAAAACACTAAAATTATGTTTTGTGAGGCAAAGCGTATAACAGATGATATGTCCATCAACATCTGTGGGTGCTTCAAGTATAGAGCCCAGAAAAATGGACACTCATCTTGAAATACTGGTGTCCAGCATTGAAAGGCACTGAGTTCTTGCACACCACTAGTGGCTTTGGAAGTGGTAGAACGAATGCAAAGGACATATATGACATTTGACAGCCTCTCCATAAGTTGCAACTTCCCTTTGGGTACTTGGGCCCCATTGTTAGTTCAACACAGCATAAAATAAAAATGCTTAAAAATAGACAAACACTTTGGGATTTTTTTTCATTAAAAATTTTGGCATTTTCATTAGAAAAAAAAAAATAGACAAACACTTTTTTATTAAAATTTTTGGCTTATTCTTATACTTCTTGTTTAGTGCTTTCATTTAAATTGGACACCTTCACTTTTTCATAGCATCCAAGCAGAACGTTGCAGAGTTCAACTGGAAGGCATTTTAACCATTATGTTCATACAAATGTTGTACTGTTTGGACAACATATAATAGCATAGAACTTGGCTTTCAGTGCAGTGACTTTAAAAATGACCTACAGCATGGAGTTATTCCTTTGATTTAAATGGGCAATCAAGTTATTTGCATGGCACAGTGCTGGGACAGGGAATGCATTGTACTGTGGCTCTTATCTATTAGTGACTTCTTGTATGGTTCAGCTAGTGAATTCCCACCCACACGCTGAGTCTTCCTCATACATAGACCTATTGTGGCTGCAGCTCCAAGAGCTCATTTATGGCCCCATGTGTCTGAACTGTGTGCTTTTATACCAGTGAAGCAGGAAGAGTACTATAAAAAGTTTCCTCCAATTTTAGATCTCAATTAATCCTGATTGCTTAAAGCAGGTAATGTTTACCTTATAGTATACTTCTAAAACTAGCTTCCACTATTGAGTGTCTTCATGTGTTCTTCTATATATCTGCTACATAATTTTCATTGGCTTACATGTGAACTTTTTTCTTTAATATTATTATTATACAGGATTTATATAGCTCCAACAGTTTGTTCAGGCTTTACAATATAGGGAGACAGTACAATTACAATACATTTCAGTACAGAAGGAATGTGAGGGCCCTGCTCGTGGAGCTTACAATCTAAAGGAAGGCGAGGTGATACAAAAGGTGATAGCTGCGGGGGATGAACTGGTGAAGGTGATTCAAGTACAGTTCTTAGGTGGAGGTTGGCTAGGCTTCCCTGAAGAAGTGCATTTTCAAAGATCGCCTAAAGGCAGACAGGGTGGGGGCTGACTGGACATGCTGTGGTAGGGAGTTCCAGAGGATGGAGAGGCTCTGGAGAAGTCCTGGAGCGAGCGTAGGAGGAGGTGATGAGGGAGCTAGAGAGGAATATTTCATGGGAGGAGCGCAGTGGGCGATTTGGCCGATATCTGTGGATGAGGTTGGTGATGTAGCTAGGGGCAGTGTTGTGGATAGCTTTGTAAGCTGTGGTTAGTATTTTGAATTTATACGTTGGGTTATTGGAAGCCAGTGAAGGGATTGTCAGAGAGGGGCAGCAGACGTTGATCAGTTGGTAAGGTGTATGAGTCTAGCAGCAGCATTCATATAGACTGAAAGGGGGATAGCCTGTGTAACGGTAGACAGTGAGGAGGGAGTTGCAGTAATTGAGGCGGGATATAACCAAGGCATGAATAAGTTGTTTTGTGGTGTCATTGGTCAGGAAGGGGTGGATTTTGGAAATGTTCCGGAGGTTGAGGCGGCAGGATTTAGCCAGTGAGTGGATGTGGGGCCCAAAGGAGAGGTCAGAGTCTAGGATTACGCCCAGCACCCTGGCATGAGGGGAAGGACCAAAGGTTGTGCTGTTGATCTTAAAGGTAAAGTCGTGAGTGGGGGATTGGGGAGGAGGAAATATTACAAGCTCAGTTTTTGAAAGATTGAGTTTGAGGTAGTGATGTGACATCCATGCAAACTTAGCTGATGACTGTCTTAATTCCCATGACATGTTAGTTTACCACCTTGCAATTGATCAATTTGTGGAACCTTACAAAAACATAAAAGTGTGCATTAAGATGTTTTCTTTAGGTGTATGTCTGGGCAAAAAAATAAAGAGAAATACACCATTCATTCAATTACATCCATTCATATATTCTGCAATGTTTTGCACTCAGCCTCTATGCCACTTTAAGCCAAAGTGGTGTTATCAACCTTGTCCAGTTACCTTTGTGGAACACAGATCACCTTCTACTATTTGATGTAGATGTGCAAAGAGAGAAGGACTTCTGTAGTTCTAATCTGGAGCAAGTAGCCTGGGGTGACAGTGCTGCTTCTCCAATGACACAATGACACAGTGCAGTGCATACATGTTGTCACCCTAGGACATGAACAGTGTTACTAGCAGGATCATCAGGTGAAAATAAAGTGTAATAAAGCTAGTTATAAATAAGAGCGGTTGCCATGTATGTTTAAAATTTGCATATACACCTATTTTAAAATGTTAATAACGTGCAAAGTCAACTGTTCAGTTGTGGATATAGTAGGGTCAGGTTAAAATTCTTGCCAGTTCATTTTCTGCTGTCTCTTTTACTTGGAGAGATGTTTGTTTACTTCCTGTCCATGTGTACAGGAAATGGCTACTAAATGAGGGTTGTATTTTGTTTATTGACCACTTTAGTACTGGGCACTTTCCCCCCTTCCTGCCCAGGCCAATTTTCAGCTTTAAGTGCTGTTGCACTTTGAATGACAATTGCGCAGTCATGCAACACTGTACCCATATGAAATTTTTATCATTTTGATTTAGACAGATGGGGGTTATTTACTAAAGCTGGAGAGTCCAAAATCAGACTCCCTTCTGCATAGAAACCAATCAGCTTCTAACCTCAGCTTGTTCAATGAAGCTTTGGCAGAAACCTGGAAGCTGAGTTTTATGCTTTTGGTGCTTTAGAAATAAACATAGAGTTTTCTTTTTGTGCAGACAGAAAAACCATTCAATGAGCTCAATGAGTACATGTAAACTCCAATGGTGCCATGGTTGGAATTTGGACCGATGACCATAGTGCTGCTAACCATTTATCCGCTGTGATGCCCTAACAAAGACTTTGAGCCACTGTTGTTCTTTCACTATGATACACATATACAGCCGTGTGTGTGTGTGTGTGGGGGGGGGGGGGGGGGCCTTTTAAATTTAGGTTGTCTTTACATTGGGGTGTTCTGGAAAATGAGTGCTAAACCTGCTGGTATCTACCAGTAAACTGTTATATACTTGTACAGTAGATGATTGAACTATCAAATTATACATTCGGTTGGTCTGGTACTGCTTTTTTTGGAGGAGCAATTTTTGTTATTCTGAAAATGTCTGATATACAATCCAACCTGGTGGAACAATAGGATGCATTGGTTCTGCAATGCAGCTTGCTGACACTGAAATTCTTTTTCAAGGTCTATCTATCTAAGCCATTTTATAGCAGTAAGCAAAGGTGACACAAAGTAGTTGAATGCTCACATTGCCTAGTAAAGCTGCGTTCACTTAAGTTATCCATTCATGTGCAAAGGAGACTCTTGTTTCATTGTTTAAATTTCCTTTGCACATGGATGGGATAAATGAGCATACTCTTTTTTTTTTTTGTAATTCCTCCCCACAGAGATAATTCATAAAATCAATATCAAATTACACTGTTCTAGTTACATGTAATTAACAAGGAATAATTAACTGGTTGTTTGTGTTGCATTTGGGAAAAAAGTCACACTTAAGTAAATCCAATGCAGGTCTAATAAAAGATGGCAGGCAATACCACGGGCATTTTACATTTTGCTGGGCACATTGTTATTCACTTAGAGACAATAAGTGACTTTCTGCAACACATTTCCAGACATCTTTAAAAAAAACAAAAAACTTGCTTTTGTTGTGCAGATTTTGGCAGTGGATATAGATAATAATGGTGTGGATTAGTTTATTGTATAATGTTTTAAAAAACTGAGAACATGTTCTGGTGTTCATTGAACCCTTGACCTTATCTGGGGGTCTGAATAGAACATATTATTCCTCCCAACACAATGTGGTGTTTATAGTAAACCAGTGGGCGGTGAGGTCTGTGCCCTGCACCTGTCTAATTCCTCATTAAACTTGCTTCTACAATTTGGAAAAATGAAAAAAAAAATCACTTAGTTCAAAAACGTTGCACTTTTTAGGAGTCTGATTTTCAAAATCCATAGCATGATATACACCACAGGAAAATTAGTAAGGGTAAAAATGGAATTGTTTGCATTAACCATTGTGTTTAACAGTAAAAAAAAAAATAGAATACTAGTAACAACCTAGAAAAAGCAAAGATGCATAGAATGTCTTCATGACAGTATTTAACAATAAAAAAAGATTTCTAAAACATTTTTTAAAACTTGTAAGAGCAAATGCACAAGTGAATGTGTTAGTGTGGATTTGTGGGTAGAGGCTGTACATTTAGCAAAGTGCATATTAGTGGATATGGTAAAGCTGTGTTCACTTTAACCTCCCTAGCGCTCTGATTATGTCCATATTTCTGTGTTCAAAGCGGTAAATTTTTTTGCATGGAAACATTTTTTTTTTTTTAAATTGCAGGCCTGTAATTTTTAAGAATAACTCACTGAAATCTGTCCGAACAAGAGTCTAGTAAACATCCCGGGTATATTACAATTTGAAACACAAAATCATAAATTAGAATTGAATAAATAATCATAAAAAATAATATAATAATAATTTAATTCAATAATATAATCAAACCAAAAACACTGAAATTTGAAATATAGCGCCAAGTTCGCACACCAGTGAGCAAAGTCGCAAAATCGTTTTTTCAGTGTCTGATGATGAATTTCCCCACGAATCATTATCACTCAATTCTGCAAGTAGTTCTAATTTACTATCGCTGTTCTCTAGCTGGTCTAAAACCGCTTTTGACCTAAAGGGACGCTTTTTGGACACCATGGACTTTTCTCAGTTTCCAGGCAGTAAGAACAGTACAAATGCAGGCAGGGCACAGGAGAAAGCACTCGGGACAAAATGTATGTGAAATGGTTTGATACAGTAAGTTTTACTATGTGATTTTAGTGAATGCCACTTTTTGTCATTTTCAAATTTCCCGCCGTTCCATCCCGACGCTCGCAGGGGACGGAACCCAGAAGACAGATGCCAGCATCTGCCGGAGGACATTACAGGGGACACTGCAGGAGGGACATCGCGGGAGCACAGGACAAGGTAAGAAGGTAAGAGAAGAACAGATCCCGGAGCAGCGCCGCATGATAAGCCCGAGTGTAGCTCGGGGTTACCGCTTGTGGTACTGAAACTTTACCCCGAGCTACACTCGGGAATACCACCAGGGGGGTTAAATACCCAATCAGTTGTGAGTAAAATGAAAAAAAAAACAAAATTGTTTTCCTCGCACATGATTAAGTGATCAAAACTCATTCAGATTCCAGTTTTTCACTAACTTTTATTTGGAATCCTGTACATTCACTTTGCTATGTTAGCAAGTTTTCTTCTTTCAGTAAATCCACCCCAATACACTTTTTCTTTTGCTGTTATTAGTTTTCCTTTTTTCACTTTCTCCATTGATAAACCTTTTTTTTCTTTACAATATTACTTCTTAGCCTGGGACCCTTAGCTGGGGCCCAGGGGCAGACTGACAACTCATGGGGCCCCGGGCAATAGGGGATCATGGGGCCCCTGTGTCCTTGCCCAAACTCAAAAAAGCCTATGAAAAAGGTACCAGGGGCATTTCATGGGGCCCCCTACTGACCCCGCGCCATCGGGCAGTGCCCGAGTTTCCAAATGGTCAGTCCACCCCTGCTGGGGCCATAATTGGCCACATTGGAGGATTTTTCCCAAATGTCTGTAGAAATTTTAAAGTGTATGTATAACCAAAACTTTTTTTTGTTCATTAATTTTGAAGAGAATAGAAAAGAGGTATTAAGGTGTTTTTTGGTGCTGCCTGTGTATTGTTGGGGAGATTTTCTTTCAAGATGTAAGAGGGAGTTTAAAAAAAATATTCCAAGAGAGAGGAATTTCTGTCTTTAGGCACTAGAACACATTCAGTCATTGGAAAATATACCTTCACCTCTTGTACTGGTGACAAACTTAAAAATCTGGATTTCCTTTTGTTTTCTGAGTAACAATGATGACCAGTACAAATAGAGAAAGTGAATCTCCCCAACAAGGACACAGACAGAAATAAAAATGGCAGAGGCAATAACTCTCCTGTTTTGCTTTCACTTACATTTTATGAAGGATACTGTGATAGTGAATACAAATTTTAAGTACTGAAACAAAAACATAATGCTTTAACTTTTACTGAGCACCTAGGAGATGCAGATCCTTTTCTTCTTGCTTCTTGATCTTGGTTTCACTACCCAAGAGTCAATGACCTGGCACCAAACTGCAGCCAATGTGGTCTGAAAAGCCTGGGTGCCTTTGCCGCATGTTTGTAGCAGATCAGTGACTCACTAAATCTGCCTTTGTATCCTGGAGAAACCTTGGTCTTAAGGAACCCTTGCTAAAAGTTCTTACATCTGCAGCTCATGGTATATTAGTGTGATCAGTAAGTTGCATATATAATATCAAATACACAAATTAAGAATGTGGCATAAATAGAGTATCCAGTCTCTTTACAATATAAGTTGGCTCACGAGGTGTCAGCTTACATTTATGGCCAGTAGCAGAAGACCACACATACAATGGTGATCAATGGGAGGAAGCATGCCCTTTACAATACAGTTCAAAGTAAGGAATGCCCCATTACATTGGTCAACTAAAAAGATAATTGGTGTCACTGGTTACTAAGAGGAGACGCTTCTTCAGTTCCAAGCAACTGGCTCTGCTAAGTGATTTCAACCCTATCAACCTCTGGATAAATTCCAGGGTTCCATGACTGACCTAAATAGGTACCCTGGAACCTTCAACTTTAACACTGGTCATGCATCCAAATAGAAACAATCATACATTTGATCATTATGAATGGTCTTTTTCTCAAAACTGGTCATTCAACACAGTAAAGAAAGACTTCGATTCGGTCAATTAGGTTAGCTTTTACATCACACACATTTAATGCGCTGTGTTTTTTGCTGCACAAAGTTAATTCCCCTGGAAAACACATACAAACATCACATGTGTAAGTGTACTGCTAAAGATTAGATTAGAAAAAAAAGGTTATGCATATGCTTTTAAATAAATAAGGGAAATAGACCCTTATATTATTATAAGCTTTCATTGGCAAAATTATGCAACTGAGACTTATGTATTCATTATTCTTTTAGAATTAGCTTTCTAAAAGTTTATTTTCTTATGTGAGTTAGGCGCAGGGCCCTGATCAGCAGAGCATTTGTAGTCATTAATTTCTCTCATTTCTATATAATTTCCTTCTATTAAATTCTTAACTTTCATTCTGCTTACAAATCTTTTAGAAAGGTCCGAATGGTACTGGTTTTATTAAATGAAATGGTCATATTTACCATTCAAATTCAGTCTCTCATTTTACACATCTGTTTAACCTCTCCACGCTGAGCATACGCAAATATGCGGCCTCTTAGCGTCTAGACCTTGATACCAAGTAGCTGCATATATGCGTACCATTTGTACACACACATGTGCTAAGAGCGCACGCCCTATGTGCTCTAGCACATGTGTTGGCATCCCATGGAAAGGTCCAGATCTCTCCTTGCGATCGGGACCTTTCCAATCATGTGACTGCCGTGACAGCCAATCATGGTGGTCACATGATCCTAAACCCCGCCCTGCCTCCCGGCATCGGAAACCCATTAAAGGACTGGGAGGCACTGGTGTGAAGGGGTTAAACTCTCTTATTGCTTCCCATTTTTTTAAAACTGAGCACAGGATTAAATTACAGATAGTGGTACCTATACATACCTTTACCAGTCTTCTTAAGGCCCTAAATCCTTGGGCAGTGTTGACAGTTGGACATTTCCCTCTCAGTAAGGTATACTGATGAACTAGTTTGAAAAGTGCAGGTGTCAGGAAGGAGCAGACTTGCCTTGACTGCATCAAAATATTTGAAATTTGCACGCAAGACCACCCAGGGGTTTGGGCTTCTGGAAGGCTCAAGACAACTTGACAATGATATTTCAAGCATTTTTTGTACTGGCACTTTATACTTTACACTACTAGTTAGTTTATTAAGTTTTCTTTCAGCCAATCCTAACAAATTAGTTTAGGTCCAGATATCACCAATGTGTTCTCACCCATTACGCACAACTGGCAATTTGTACATTTTTGCAATGGATACATGAAATGCTTTAAGATGAAGAAGAGCAGAGAAAAGGATGTAGCTTTAAATGTGAGTATGCTTATACAGACAAACTGATAAAAAGATAATTAAACAAGGGACACAGTAGCTCCCCTTAGGTGGGCTTTCCTTAGCTCATAACTGCATGAAGCCCAATTATTTTAAAATCCTTTTTTTTAATGAAACAATAGGCTCTCCACTGTTCTGAAAACAAATAACTGTGACTAGAGACTAATATTTTGACAGCCATATAGTAGCTACTCTCAAGTTTTCATATGATATGTCTAACACATTCAACTGAGCAAAAAACAAACTTACTATAAGGCACTTTTAATAACACAAACATACAATACACAAGCATAAACAAGATCCTAAAGTTCCTAAAGTTCATTAACATCTTATTTAAAGGCATGTGTACTTTTTGCTTCCACTTTGAATTGGCACCTTATTTTTACAAGACTGGTATGAATTGGTAACCTATCACGTGCAAGGAAACATTAGAAAAAAGCATTTTCACTTGTACGTGATTGTACGATGAAAGTCAGCTCAGCTTCATTGCATTCACTAAGCTCTGGGACAACTTCCCTTGGAAAGTGAACGGCCTGTCTTTAGTAAATCAATGCCAAGGTTGAATCACTTAACAGTGCCAGCAACAATGGAGCTAGCCCATGGTTTGTTCTAAAGTCCATTTGCTGTGTGTTAAAGTGGTTCTAAAGCCTAAAGGTTTTTTTTCACCCTAATGAATTCTTTGCATTGAGGTAAAAACCTTCTGTGTCATAGAATCCCCCCTCACCCCCCATGTACTTACCTGGGCCCATTCCCCATCCAGCGCCGTGCATGAGAGCAGCGACTCTCTCTACTCTCTTCCTCCTCACTGAGCAGATTATATAGCAAAGGGAGCCATCGGCAGTTGCTGCTCTCAATCAAATTCTGTGTTGAGGAAGTGGGGGGCAGGACTGAGACGCCCTGTGTGTGTCAACAGGCACAAACAGGGTGGCTCGAAAGCAAGCCCGCATAGGAGCCCCATAGAAAAAAACTTTCTATGGGGGCACTTGCCAAAAAGGAGGAGCAAAGAGCACTGGCAGGGAACCCCAGAATATATGGGCTACTCTGCAAAACCATTGCACAGAGCAGATAAGTATGACAGGTTTATTGTTTTATTAAAAGAAGTGACAATTTAATATAATTTTAAGAATAGGTGAATATTTACAGTGGTTGTAAAGGCTGAAGGTTTTTTTACCTTCATGCATTATATGCATGAAGGTAAAATACCTTCAGTGTGCAGCTCCCCTCTGCGTCCCCATAAATCTAACCTAAGCATGATCACATACCAGTGCTGTGCACAAGAGCCTCGGCTTTCCCGGGTCTCTCTCTCCTCATTGGCTGAGACACAGCAGTGGTAGCCATTGGCTCCTGCTTCTGTCAATCACAGCCAAAGAGGATTGAGCGGGGGCAGGGCCAAGCCACGTTTTGTATGTGTATGGACCAGGGGTGGGACTGAAAACTCATGGGGCTCCCGGGCAATCGGGGATCATTGGGCCCCTGTGTCCTTGCCCAAACTCAAAAAAGCCTATGAAAAAGGTACCAGGGGCATCTCATGGGGTCCCCTACTGACCCCCCCGGGCAATAGGGGATCATGGGGCCCCTGTGTCCTTGCCCAAACTCACAAAAGCCTATAAAAAAGGTATCAGGGGCATCTCATGGGGCCCCCTACTGACCCCGGGCCCTCGGGCAGTGGCCGAGTTTCCAAATGGTCAGTCCGCCCCTGCTATGGACATACAGGATTGGCTTGGGATGGGAGCGAGCATGTATGAGTGACCCCAGAGAAAGCAGCTTACCAGCTGGGGGGGGGGGCAGGGGCCAAGAACACCGCTGAGGGACCTGAGAAACGGAGGATCGGGCTTCTCTGTGCAAAACCATTGCACAGAGTATGTACTGTAAATATGACATGTTTGTTATTTTAATACAAAAAAAACCTTTAAATGTCTATAACCTGACCAACAAATGAATTGTAAGCTCCCCCTACAGACTCAAAAATGCAATGCAAATCATTTATATGCAATATGCATCCTATTTACTTGACTTGTAATAAAAAATACTATAACATTTTATTTTATATTTCTGAAATAAATGATGTACAAAACTACTTTATTATGTTTCAAAGCAGAATTCCAAAACCTTTGGATAAAACAGCTCAGCAGGAAGCACAACAATCGCTGCAATTTTATGTTTGTTTGCAACTATGCTGGAGTATTCTGTTTTCAGTGTCTAAGCTGCTTATAATGTGACTTGTCATTTAAGAAATATAGATGTAAATGGACCAGTTACTGGTTCATTATCCAATAGAAATCAAGTGGCAGATGTAATTTCTTTCACACTGAAAGATGAACTTTTTAGTCTCCTGTGCTTTGTGGTTAATATGATTGCCATAATTTTTGCAAAAAATGTCTAAGGCATTGTCAGAAGTAATATAGTTATTATGCATGAATGTCTTTTAAAACTTTCAAAGGCAAGGACTCAGAGGGTTTGAAATACAAACAAGGACCATGTTAAAAAAAGATGTTGCACAATATTGTACTATACATTGCCATGCGTGTATTTAAAAATAGATGCAATTAAACATGTCCTACAGCTTCAGGTCTTGTTTTACTGCAGTTGCACCAAATCTGACATAACCAAGGAAAAGGAGTGTTAAACATTATAGTTCAATCAAATGTAGTCCCCCCAGAGGCGTAGCTAGGATATTTTATGCCCGGGGACGAACTATAAAATTGGCGCCCCAGCCCCCCTCCCCGTTTAATCACATCAGTGACACCAATGATGGGCACTATTCCTCCCACTGACACCAATGACACTTACCTTGCTGACCCCTGCTCCAGCCTGGGCTCCTTCCCTCTCCCATCCACAGCCAGCATACCTGGTTGCAGCAGCACCATCTGCACGGCACACTTACCGGTCAGCTGTCTTCTTCACTTGCTCCGGCCGCTCCCTCACTCGATCTTCGCACTGCCGCTCAGCTCCTCCTCTCCAAGCTCCGTCTCCTCGTAGGTGATTGTCCGCCTGTGTGCCTTTCCTGAGCTACAGTTCTGGTGCCCAATCACAAACAAGGAGGCGGAGCTTGCAGAGGGAGGTACAAGCTGCCATAGGCCGTCCAGTGATCCTGAGGGTGTGGTCAGATGACAGGGGCGGCATGTCATCCCGCCCACACATCGCGTCCAGGGAAAAGAAGACATTGGACCTGCAGACCTCTCTACCCCTCCTCCAGCAGTGCCTCCTGGACTGGATCGTCGTGGGACTGGGACACGGAGCCAGGTAAGACACAGCGGTCCACTGCCCGCCCCTGTACTAAGTGTCCCTTCCATTGGAAGGAGGGAGGCGGCACCGCGCCGCCCCCTCATAAAAAGTGCCACCCTAGGCAAACGCCTTGTTAGCCTCACGGCAAATACGCCCCTGGTTGTAAGCCTCTATTTGGTGCCCCTGTACCTTGGCGCCCAGGTACATATGTACTCTCCTGCCCCCCCCAGCTATGCCTCTGAGTCCCCCTCCTTATGTGATTAACCACTTGAGCTCTGGAAGGTTGTACCCCCTTCACGTGCAGACCATTTTTTGCTATTCAGCACTACGCTACTTTGACTGGCAATTGCTCAGTCACGCAACAATGGAAGCAAATTAATTTTTTTGCACTTTTGTCACACAAATACAACTTTCTTTAGGGTATATTTGATCACCACTGGGTTTTAATTTTTTTTTTGTGTGTGTTATAGATGAAAAAAGACTGCATATTGTGGGAAAAAATATATATTTTTACTATCTTTTATGAAACCTATTCAATAAAAAAAAATAAAGTCATATTTCTTCATAAATTTAGGCCAAAATGTATTCTGCTATGTATATTTGATAAAAAAAAAATGCCAATAAATGTATATCATTTGATTTGTGCAAAAGATATAGTGTCTACAAACTGTTGTGTGTGTGTGTATATATGTGTGTATGTATGTATGTGTATGTATATATATATATATATATATATATATATATATATATATATACTGGAATTTACACAGCTATAACATACTGCTAATGGCGGTGATCGGTGACTTATAGTGGGACTGTGATAGTGTGGCGGGCAATCTGGCACTAGCTAACGCTGGGTGAGAGGTACACTAACCAACTAATTGACACTGACATCATTAGTGACACTAATACATTGATCAGATACAATACTGTACACTATCACTGTACTACTGACAATGGCTGGGAAGGGGTTAACATCTAGGGCCAATCAAAGGGATAACTGTGTGCCTACCAATGTGTAATGTGTGTAATATGTGCTGCTTTTGCTTTACTGTCTGCTTTTTCTCCCTGCTGTGATATACTGTAATTTTAATAAGCAGACTTTGTTGGTAAAATGCATTTATTCTATTTATCCCCATAAATAAAGAAGAATGTGTATCCAGACTCACTATCAGGAAAAAGATCTATCTGTCTTGAAAAAATAAAAAAGTATAATACCTTAGGGTAGACAATAAGACCTAAAATATATCAAGAGTAGTAGTGAGATGTTGCTTACCATTTTAGTGGTCTTTTACTGAAAACGCCAGTATGAAAAAAAAACATACATTGTTCAGGGGGCTGGGCAGTTGAGCAATAAACCCTGTCTATACGGTGCTGGAAGATTTCATTATCAGTTGTAAACTATATGAAGAATTTAAGGCCAGACCTCTTTGTTGTATGTTGATAAGAGGACACAGAGCCTGTCTTTGGGACTCTGAAATTGTTCAGAAATGCTTTCAGGGACAGTCCCGACTCCCTGGGCAGGGACATGCTGTATGCTGATTAAGGTCACAATGAAAGTTTTATCAAGAGGTTACTTCTTTAGAATGTTGCTTGTGTTGTACTGTTACTTGGGATTGGGAGCATGGCCAGGCTATTTTGCTGGCACCTGGAGAATCTGCAGTAAAGGACAGGTTTTGGTTTTGGAGCAGTGCTCCTCAGCTTGGAATGCTTAAAGCGATAATAAATGTTCGACTTTTTAAAAAAAAAAAACATAACAAACATGTCATGCTTACCTGCTCTGTGTAATGGTTTTTCACAGAACAGCCCTGATCCTCTTCTTCTCAGGTCCCCCACCTGGTGAAAATTACATGGCGCCATGCCAACACTCAGTGCTTATGCATAGTCTGTTATCAGATCCTGGATCCAGCCTATGCTGGAATGAGTACAGGTAGCCAGCAAGTGGCTGAAAATTGCTGGAGGGGTTCAGCAGTGCCATAATGTTTACTGAGCAGATGCCACTTGGGCACCACAAACAATCTGTTAGCGATATACATTCAAATAAAGTTTCACATTATTTCACATTTCCCACAAAAAAGGTTTTATTCACCTCTCAGACTAAACGTTGCAGTCTTTTACAGTCAAATCATAATATATCACTAATATTTAAATCATTTCAGGAAACCATTGACAGTATTAGCTTTAACTTATAAAATTGCAGTCAGAACGCTGTAAAATCGATGCAACAAATGTAGACCAGTAGATAATTACAACTGCTCTGCATGTGATAGCATATATTATTAAAAAGCCATAGTTCACAAGAAATGCTGTCTTAGCATCTGTGTGTCATTTGACACAGTGGTGACAAGTACAGAGAACCAGGCAATCTGCTGATCAATAATATTTTGCATTTTTCTTTTTTGTCGCTTCAACTCTCCTGAATACATTTTCAGCTCTTGATGCTCCGGCTTACCTGCTGACACCAAGTCTCACATCTCAGCATGGTGCATCCTGTGCTATTGCTGACTGTGGTAAAAACAATCAATTGTGCTGTAAAATGTTTAAAACAGTATTGTGCTGTTGAATTCTGCTTCATAATTTACTCTGTAGCATGATACACAAATGTTAAAGTTCCTAGTTGGCCTCATTTATCGATGTGTGCCTATCTGTGTTGCCCCATGGCAATCAGTCAGATTCCAACCTGTACTGGAAAATAACAGTTGGAAAGTGTACGACTAAATATAATCAAGCCTAAACAAGACAGGAAAGACCCAAGAGAGAGACCAATGGTGACATTGCAGAGCTTTCTAATACCACACCTGTACAATACTGCTGCTGTTTAAGGCTAGCCATACATTATGCAGTTTTCTTGATAGTTTTGCTTTGGATTTACCAAAAACCATAAAATGTGAGGTCAAACCTAAACACTTTCAATTGCAACTAATCGGGCAGAACCTTGCACTACATAGTGGATGGTAAATCTAAAGGAAATTGGGCATAAACTGGTCAGAAAACAAGAATGTTGTATAGTATATGGTCAGCCTAAGCAACATTGCTCACACCCCAACACCCAGAAGGTTTACTTGCACGTATCTGAGTCTTAAAACACCAGGAGAGGCTGAACCTGGAGGGAGGCTCCAAGTAGCTTAGTGTATGAGAATGAACATGTTTCTGAAGAAAATTATGAAAGGACTTTGCCAGGAACTCAGGAGAAAGTAAGTCAAGCTTCTCACTATGAGCTCCTGTGGGAGCCAATCACATTCACAGAAGCATCTACATCCGTGTGAGGGGACCCCCTGTGAGTAGGTTGCATCCATTGAGTGGAGAACCCCTAAGAGCATTAATACTGCCAGGGAATAAGGATTAACCTGATCTGATTTGACCAGACCCATTCTTTGATGACATCTGGATGACCAGAGGCTTACTACTATTTATGCGCATTTAAAATGCGTATCTGGTGAGTGCACATTCTTATTATTTACTACCAGATTCATGGTCTGTATCACTGGACATCCAGAGATTATTGGGAATCTCAAGAGCACCTCTTCTTTCTGGACTGTTTAAATTGAGTTTACACTCTTTAGCACTTTTGACCACCATACAGTGGCCTATGTATTTGCACTTTGTCACTTTATATATGGATTTGGATTGATACTTTAATACTGCTGAATCTATTAGCGCTGCACCCTCTCTTTGTATAAATATAATCAGTGGTTATGTACAGCAATTAAGCACAGAATGATATGTGAGTTAGTAGATTTTTACCATATACCATTTGAATGTAAAATACAGATGTAAGTTGCAGTTGCTGTATTCACACCTCTGGATTTTAGATGCCACTACATGAAGAACAG